TAAAGATGCTTGATTTTAATGTTCATAATGCTTTATGAAAAAGGGAAAATTACTTTCTTTTTATTTTGGAATCTTTAAGATAGTATTTACTTGGGAGATTTGCCTTCTCATTGTAGTATTGCTCAGTTCATATTAAAAGGAGTTTGTTTATTGAGTGTTCATTGCCTGGTGGGAGGGATGGAGGTCAGGAGTCAACCAGATTGGCACTGAAATCCACTGCAGATGATTCGTGGGTGGGCATGTATCTGATAAATAACTAAGGATGGGAACGTTATTACAGGAGATATAGGGAAAGAACCACAATTAACTCCCAAACCCAACTCTCATCTCAGAAGAAGACAAACTCTGCCCAAAAAGCTCCCGAGACCGTAAAGGTGAACAGCACCTGTGTCAGGTGCAATCCTGGAGGAGCTATGGCCTGATGTATCCACAAGATGCATCTCGTCATAAAGCTATCTTAGCAGATCTTACTCCACCTCAAAGAGCTGGTGGTTGGACCAAAGTTCTGGCAGCTGCTGCCTTGCCACTGGGGAAACCCAAATGAATAGTTACTCTTGCTTTGGGGCCTGGCTAACCCTCTGTTTGTAACAATGTTGGCTTAATTCTGGATCATGCCCTAAACTGAGCCTGAAGATTAGACTGTTTCACCCCGGCTATGGCCTCTGATTACACTGCATCATGACCACGGCCACTTCCTGTTTCCCTGCCGCAGGCCTCTGTGCGCCACCCAAGCCGGCTGGCTGTGGGGTGAAGGGCCAGAGAAGGAAGGAGCCAAAGAGCAAGACATAGGAGACTAACATCTCCCAGAGGTCGCTCCACGTCACAGACATTTTAACTGGAAAATTTTTGTGGTCATCTGGGTCACTTGATTTCAACCTTACAGGGGCCACAGATTTCTTTAATAATCAGATGAAAGTGGTCGAACCCTCTCTCCAGAAAAATGCACCTCCTCAGATTTTGGGTACAATTCCAGAATGTTTTACAACTCCCTGATAGCTGTCCATCTAGACTAAGCCTTTTCTTTTACAGATGAGGATATAGAGACGCAAAGGAGGTAGAGGGTCTTGCCCAAGGTTACACAGAGGAGATAACTGAATTCAAATTCAGCTCTCCTGATTCCCATCAGCCAACGCTCTGAGGTTTCCACTCTACATTGAGCCCTGTACTGGGAATTATGGAAAGTTAGGGTGCTCACAACCAAGGAAATAGAACTCCAGCTCATGAAAGGAAGCTAAGGTCAATTAGTAAGCAATATTCCTGCCATACATGCCTCTTTAGAAAGTAAAAGCTAACGCCTTCCATTAATTCAGCAGGCACTTATTGAGCACATAAGAGCATCTCCTAAAATCTCTAATCATTGGGAGATTAATTATTTATTGGAAATCAGGGCTTTTTGTAATCTCAAGCCTGAAGAAAATGTTGAGGTCCTCAAAGTGATTTTTTGTGGCTTTGTTCAGCCACACTGAACCCCACACCAAAATGTTTACTGAAAGGTGGTTGGTATTTCAGAGACTTTGATGTGAGAATTAAGTGTCATATTAATGAAAGAGACCAGAGTTGAACTGAAGGGTACCTAAGTAGAGTCTACTGCAGGCTTAGCTATTCAACAAAAGAGCAGAAAAGCTCCAAGCTTTTGTAGAGTTCCCAGTAATAGGGCATACATTTTATAAATAGCAGGAGGAGAACCAGATTCCAATTTCATCTTTCTGGAAAGAAGCAGGAAGCACTTTTGACTGATACTTATCTTCTCGGTTGGGTGCCAAGAGGCAGCCTTTTATCACAGGAGGTTGTGAAGGTTGGAGACTTGCCCTGAATCTAAGCTTCTCTACTGACTGGCTGTGTGACCTCGGGCAAAGCCCTTTACTTTTTTGAGCCTTGGTTTTCTCATCTGAAAATTAGGACTAATACTACTATCCTGATAATGTAGTTGTTGAGTCAACATAAATGACTCCCCTCCCTGGCTTTACAGTCTATTCTTTCTTTTTTTTTTAATTTTATTTATTTTTTTCCCCCAAAGCCCCAGTAGATAGTTGTATGTCACAGCTGCACATCCTTCTAGTTGCTGTATGTGCGACGCGGCCTCATGAGGCTGGAGAAGTGGTGCGTCGGTGCGCGCCCAGGATCCAAACCCAGGTTGCCAGCAGCGGAGCGCCCGTGCTTAACCGCTAAGCCACGGGGCCGGCCCTCTTTCTTTTGTAGCAAATACTTTATTCTGCCTTGTATTTTGGGGAATAGCTTCCCAGTCTGTCTCTCCCACTAGATGATAACTCATTCAGGGCAAGAACTTCGCTCTCCTCATCTTTGTAGCCCCCAAAGCCGAGGGCAGCACTTTTGCGCAGTGGGTGTATCAGTCAGGGCCCAATCAGGAGGCATAAACTACACAATCATTTGAACAAGGGGGTGTTATATAAGAAATTATTAAACTTTGATAGGAGTAACTATAAAGATGTAAAGAGAACTCTAAAGGGTACCTAAGCTGAGAGAGGATACACAAGGAAGAGCAAACTTGGAAGGGGCCCCTCTCCACGGCTGGGGCTCAGACTTTGTTGGAGAAGTTGTGGTCATAGGCTACTGGATGGCGAAGTTTGCTAGGTTTCCTGGACCAGAGCTGGGTCCACAGTTGCTGGGCAGCAGAAAACAGCCCTCTGGGTGTAGGTGAGGTGACACTGGTGGGCAAGTGTGTAGAGTCAGGGCGCCACTTCCGATGCAAGGCTTTGGAGTGCATAGCGGGCCACCATACATCAGGAGGGCCATGGTGAGGGCCAGGCTGCAAGGTCGCCAAGCAACTATGCACTCTGGCCATGTAGCTGAGAGAGAGCACCACTGAATGTCCCCACTGACAGACTCTGCAGCAGGAGTAAGATCCAAACCAGGAAGAGAAGCCCCTTGCTTCCTATAGGGTCCCTCCAGTACATGGCTTAATGTCATACTCGCTGTTAAGGAGAGGCACATACAGAGTCCAGTCCGTTATCTCAGAGCAGAAACTAAAGGGTGAATTTGGAGCTGAGAGGCAATGATGTGATAACTGGTATAATGAGTGATCAAAATGTTTGAATTAAATTAGGAAAAGCCAAATAATCTGTCAATAATTCCCTTCACTCCTGTTTATTTCCCCTTCTTTCAGTCCTGTAAATTTTACCACCAATAAATGTCAAACCTCTCTAACTTCTTTTGTAATGTACCCTCTAGAAGCTCACTTCCCTCTAGGGCGTTCCATTTTGTTTTGTTTTCTTAATGAGACATATCTTTCTTCTCTTGGCACACACTGAAAAGAGACGCAAAAAAGAGAGAGAGAAACAACGTCAGACCCAGTATTTCATTTCACAACTTATTTCTCCACTCAAACTTGAACTTGTTTACCCATGGTCTCTCTATTTCATTTCAAAGCAATCCACCTGTCCCTCCCAAACACTTCAGGATTGTCCCAAAACACTTGACTTCGAATGGCAGTGGAAGGACTCAGAGCTGACCCAAGAACCACTTTCCCTACCTTTAAAGAAAATGCTGTGGCCACCTCAGGTCAGATTGGGGAGTTAATCTCCTTGGACAAATCTGTAGAGTCCAATCTCCAACCATTTTAGAAGAAAATAGGTGACAGAGCAAACAGCAGACTTCGAGGATAATTACCAGCACAAATATTATTCGGAAAGCATTTGCAAAGGATTAATAGTTTCAACTTGAGAATCAAGCCAAGGAGAGTGTAGCATGTAAAGAGCCCTGCAGATGCTGTCCTGTGGGAGATCATGTCATTAATAGGCAGCAAATTTGTGTCAAGGCAATGTTCTTAGGCATCAACCACCCTGTTCTTCCAAATTATTTCATTCTCTTCTGAAGAGTCAGATTTAATTAGTGTTAACGGATGATTCCCCTGCAGGAATTAGCTCAAGAGTGAGGTGGGAATACAGTTAAGGCTTTCTCCAAGGATGAAGTGGTTCTGCAAACTTAATCTATTTACCATCCTTCAGAAGGGCCTGGAAGACCATCCCTTTAAACCAGAAAAATGGCAACAGGAAAAACTAGAGGAACTTAATCTTTCTCCCAAAATTTATATCTATATATATGGCTGTCTTACAGACTCTTTTTTTCAATTGATGGACATTCTGGGCCAATGGAAGCTGGAGTAGACTGGCAGAAGCCATCTCAGTATCTTTCCAAGCTTCTACCCCTACGTATACTCAAATGATCTAAAATAATAGCCACGTTTATCCCTCAGTCATGGGATTGTGGACAGTTTTTATTTTCCTCTTTTTGTTTATCTGTATTTTCTGCAATAGGCATGTATTATTTATGAAATTAAATATATATAAAAATTTTAATGAAGAAAAACCCCACATTTTTCTTCTCTAAATCTTGGACTACATTACTGCTTTTTGTCTCATATCTAGCCAGACCCTTTCCAGCCTCTCCACACCCCCTGCTCACATTAACTGCCAGAAATCAGCATACGTCATTTTCGAAAGAGATTTATTTCTTTTTTTTTATCTCAAGTAAAGATTTTATTTATTTATTTTCTCCCCCCAAAGCCCCAGTAGATAGTTGTATGTCATAGCTGCACGTCCTTCTAGTTGCTGTATGTGGGACTCGGCCTCAGGATGGACGGAGAAGTGGTGCCTCGGTGCGCGCCCGGGATCCGAACCCCGGGCCACCAGCATCGGAGCGCGTGCACTTAACCACCAAGCCATGAGGCCGGCCCGAGATTTATTTCTTTACTCTTGAACTTCTAAAAACAGCCCACTTTTTCATCTACCCATCACCGAGTGGTGATTGATGCTATACCTGCCTCTGATGTGACAAAACGTAAGCAGTGAATAAAAGTCTTTCATGATTCTTGCACATTCTGAGGCAGGCACATTCTGAAGGCACTAGCCAGGGGCACTGAGCCATGTGAAGATGCTCTGTGGGGTGTTATTCCGCCTCGGGCACGGTTGTGCCAACCTGCGGGCATCTTGAGGAGATCATCTGGTATCGCTAACCTTTGATGTGGTGCTCTGCTCTTTCAGATTTTTGACAATGAGGCCAAAGACCTAGAGAGAGAAGTTTGCTTTATTGATATTGCCTGCGATGAAATTCCAGAACGTTACTACAAAGAATCTGAGGTAAGCAATAGATGAGATGACATGTGGAAGAGATTCATTCATTCAACAAATATTTATTAAGTGTGTCCTAACCTGGGAGACTTTCATCTCTCTTTGTGTTGATTCAATTTGGTTTCACATCTTGCCAGATTCCTTAATACAGGTCTCAAAATTAAGTCCCTTCTCCTTGAGGCACATCATTGGCCCTGGCTGCCACTCAATTTTGATTTAGTCTACTTGTCTCCTCAACTCTGCCATCATTCTGGGCAGCAAAATACTCATAGGGCTTCAACCGTCCAACCTACTGGCCTCTCTAAAAAACAGCAGCCACCTCCGGCTTCCTGTTTTGCCTGGCTTCTGCACAACTGGTCTCCTCATCTGCATGCTCCGGGAGGGCAGGGGCTGCGTTTTAATTCTGTCTTTGGGATCTGACACAAAGAAAATGCTCCATCAGTCCTCTCTGGGTGAATATTGAAGCTTGGACAGCTCATCTCGGCATGAAACCTTTCTCTGAAAACAAGAAGCACCTTCACGTGGGCTGCTTCTTTTTTCATCTTGACTGAGAATAAATTTAAGAGAATATCTTTCTTTATAGCTTCCAGCCCACCATTGTTTGCCTCAGTGAGACCTTTTTATTTTACCGTTGGTACAAGTCACCATTTCCATCCCGTTAGTCTTTTAGTAATGGCTGCTGACAGAACTTGGGTGACCTCCTTGTAAATAACATCCCAGCCCTGCAACCATAACAGATGCAGGGCTATTTCTGTTGTTTAGCAACATGCAGCCAATCACAATATGTTTGGACTCAAGGCCCCAGATTCATCCTTGAGCCATAACACGGACCTTGAAACTCTTCTCTCAGATTCATTAAGGCCAATTTAAGACCTAATAAATAAACCCGTTAAAAATGAATTGCACTGTTAGACAAACTAGGCTGCCAAAACTGTTCTGATTTTTTGGCCTCCACATTTTGGGATTCGTTTGCATGTAAAAGTCTAACCTGATCTTAGCAAATGCTTAGCTGCTTAATTGCAGGCTTGTGCTCTGCAGCTGCTGTCCGTTCAAAGACCGGGGAGAGGCTGCTGTGAATCACTCTCAGTCTGACTCAAAGGCTGAGCTTTCAAACGTCATCATTTTACACTACGCTCCGCAGCCAATCACACTTGTGAATTTTCAGAAAAACAAATTGAAATGCTCTTTGCGTAACTGTGGACCTGCTGAAGCGAATAAACTTGGTCTCCCCTTTTCTCACTCTAGGAAGAACTTCTATGGTTTCATATCAAGTCCACCACTACTTGTGGGGCTTCTATCATGTGCAGAACACACTGGGTGAAGCTGTTGCCCCGTCGCTTCTGTGGCTTCTTGGGCCTGGAGGGCTGCTGTCCTAACTGGGCATCTTGGCCTCTTTGGAAGCTCTGGGCCTTCCAGGAAGGCAGTGTTTGCAGAAAACTCTGAACTAATTTCAGTTCCTTCTCAGAGTGCTTTGGTGTAGTCCTGCCTGGTACTCCGGGAGTTCCCTCCTGATTCGGTGAAAGTCTTGGGACAAATATGGAATATTAATGACACCAAGTCTCATTTCTAGTCAGCGGGTGGCTGACTCATCTCCCTGTGCTTTGTGTTCCCAAGAATCCCCACTGGAAAGCTTCTTCTCATTTACACAGACACTCAAGAGCTTTTTCTTCATGCTTCACAGTCATTCATTTCCCTGGGTCATAAAGTATTCTTTTCTAGATGGGATTTGACCAAGGAAATAAGAGGTGAACTGTCATTCATTCAATAAATATTTACTGTGTACTCACTGAGTGTCACATACAATATGAAGACAGGGACATGGCCATGAGCAGAAAAGACATTGAGGGTCCCATCCCTCAGGACACTTCCAATCTAGCTGGGGAGCCAAACAATAATGAAATAATTACATAGGTACCTATGGAGTTAAAAGTCACAAATGCCAGAAGGAGGTGTGCAGGGAGAGGCCATGATAGGGAAACTAAATTGAAGAGGGTGAGATTAGGAAAGAGGTTCTGGAAGAATGACAGTTATGCTGAGACCCACAGGATGAAGAGAGCTGGGGGGATAGTGCTCCAGGTGGAGGTAACAGCATGTGTAGGAGTCCCGAAGTGACACGGATGAGGACGCGAAAGGAGGCAGCGGCGGAAACAAGAGGAAGGATGGCACAAGGGAGCTTGGGAAGGAGGATGGCGCCGCGAAAGGTGCTTAGATTTTATTCAAGTGCAATAGAATGCCTCTGAAGAAATTAAAGCCAGGGCATCATATGATCTGATTTGTGCTTTTAAGAGATTGCTCTGGATGTAGAATGGACTGGAAGGGAGCAGAGTGGAAGTCAGGAAACCACTGAGGTCATTAGAGTTATCTATGTTATTGTTTTTTTAGGTTACATGGTGGCTTGAACTGGGGGGTGGGGAGCAGATGGTTTTGAGGTGTATTTTGAAGAATTGACAGGGATTGGTCCTGGATTGGATATGAAGATGAGAGAAAAGGGAGAGTTAGAATAGCCTTAAGGTTTATGGCTTGGACAACAGATAGACGGAGGTGAGAAGAGGTATGGATTTTGGAGAAAGAAGGATCAATTTTGGGATGCCAATGAGACATGTAGAACAAACAGAAATGAGTCTGGAGCTTAGGTGAGAGATCAGAGCTGGAGACAAATTTGGGAGTATTTGGCAAATAGAAGGTATTTAAAATCCTAGGGATGGATGAGAGGGAGAAAGCATAAAGTATAATGGGAAAGGGGTTCAGATCCAAGCATTAAGGGGTGGCAGCATTTGGAGATCAGGAAGAAGATGGGAAGACCCCAGGAATCTACAAAGAATTGGACAGAGAGTTAGAAGGAAAACAAGGAGAGTGCACCAAGGATTGCAGGTTTGAAGAGGAAGAGAGTGATCAGCTGGGCTGAATGCTGCTGAGAGACTGAATAAGATGAGAATGGAAAACCGTTCTGTAGAGCAGTGGTTCTCAACTGAGGGTGATCTTGCCCTACAAGGCGGCTTACAATGTCTGGAGACATTTTTGGTTGTCACAACTTGGGGGTGCTACTGGCAACTGGTGGGTGGAGGCCAGGGATGCTACTAAACATCCGATAATGTACAGGACAGCCCCCCATAACAAAGAATGATCTGGCCCCAAATGTTATTACCAAGGCTGAGAAACCTTGCCCTCGAAGAAAAGGTCACTGGCAATGAATGAAACTCTGGATTCAGCTCTCACACTCAGAGCCACCCCTCCCTGTCCTGGAGTCTTAGGATTACTTAATGAATGTGAAAGAAAGGAGCCCCAGAGGGCACGCTGTCAAGTACGGCTTCCCAGAGGATCGCTGGCCTACATTACAGGTAGACTTCTTCCTCAATAGCCCTGGCAGTTAGACCACAATGGAAAAGGTATAATTGGGAGCCTGCAATAAAATCTTGGGAAAAGTACGATCCGCAGGACCCCCTTGTGACCTAACCGCACCATCATTTGATTTCCAGAATCCAGACTGCACTATGAACCCACCAGAGGGGAGAGAAATGAGTTTCCTAGGCTGTTGTGGTTGTTGTGTCTGCCGTGAATATCATTAGCCAGGGACTGAGAATAAGGGGAACAACCAATTCAGCAGACAAACCATTTCCAAAGAAATTTCTACTCAGCAGTGTGTAAATCATTAACATCCTCCTCCCCAGCACAAGAGTTTCCCTCTCAAGTGAAAGCTGACCTTGTCATTTTCTGCTTAAAACCCCTCACTGGCTGGGAGGAAGCCCAGGCCCTTAGCATGGCCCTCTGCCTTCTCCACTCCCCAGTCCTCCCCACCTCTGTGCCACTCAGTTGGGGAGCGAAGAGTCAGTCCTCCTTGTGGTTCAGCTCAAACATGGCTTCTCGTCTGGGCTTTCCTGGGTACCCTGCTCCCCCACCCACTGTCTGGAGGCCAGTGGGTTTCTAGTCTGTGGCTTCTTTTTTTTTTTAATTTTATTTATTTATTTTTTCCCCCAAAGCCCCAGTAGATAGTTGTATGTCATAGCTGCACGTCCTTCTAGTTGCTGTATGTGGGACGCGGCCTCAGCATGGCCGGAGAAGCAGTGCATCGGTGCGCGCCCGGGATCCGAACCCGGGCCGCCAGCAGCATAGCACGCGCACTTAACCGCTAAGCCATGGGGCCGGCCCTAGTCTGTGGCTTCTAAATCATGCTGGCTCATGCTAGCTCAGTTATATCATGAGCTCCAGGAAGACCAGAGCTGTTCTGTTTATCACCATCCCTCGGCAGCTCATAGAGCACCAGCACATAGCAGATGCTCACCGAACGGTTGTTGAATGAATGAGTGAGAGTCAGGAGCTTTGTTTTTTCCTTCCAGCAGCGACAATTTCAGAGTGAGTGCTATCAAAGAAATTGAATTTGTTGCCATTAACCCAACAGTTGTGAATCAGAGTTCCTTTTTTTTTTTTTAATCTGAGGCATACAGCTTTACAGGCTTTTTCTTCCAATCCATCTTTGTAAGTTGACTATGTCAGCATCATAAATAAGAACACATTTTCTGGGGAGAAAGCTGAAGAGCTGGTGGGCTGATTCTGTTCTGAGGTTTTTGATGCTTATGAATTCAGACCAGGGTTATCTGGGTCACCCCTCTCTATCCCGCTCCTGTCACACATACCGCCATCCAGGCCAAAGAAGGGGCCTGAAGCACTTTCTTTTCTTTTTTCATTTCTCCCTGGAAACCTCCAAGCCACACAGTCAAGAGTGCCTCTCTCATTAAGGTGAGCGGAGCTGGGAATTTTCCGCTGGGTGCCGTCTGCCTGGCGGCCCTTGTGCACCACCAGCCAGGGATTCAGAAGGATGGTCTGGAGACTCAGGATCAGTTGATAGCCTGGCCCAGCGCTCTCTTTATTCTCATTTTGCAGTGCTGCTGTTTCCTATCCACATCAAGGGTGTGAGCTTCAGCTCCCAAGAGCCTCTTAGTGTCAAGTTTTGTTCTCATATCTATTGCAGGACTCAGCAGGGCAGCGCTGTATTGTAAAAAAAAATTCAGCGT